TGATGATGATAATTACGCATCTGTTGCTATACCAGATGCGAGAAGATCGTCAAAAGGAAACCGATTGGGAACAACGACGACAGTCCGGCGCTTCTCGCTTCATCGGGTTTTTTCAATACCCCCGAGGATCGAGCGACTAGAGGCAATTTTCGCGCCTCGACAACGCGTCCGAAGAAAACAACGACAAATCGAAGCCGATCGCTCGTTAACTCCGTACCGATAAGTATGCCACTCTTCCGCGTTTTTTCATTCGCTCCCTCGATCCCGAGGCACGCCAATTACCTACACACACCTGTACGGAGTACAAGGGGACCCTCTCATTGCCGCGGCCAATGACCCCCTGGTCCTGCATGCGCACACATATTTGCAGCCTCGCGTCGAATATTTCCACATCGACGTCCTCTTAACGACCTTCCGGCGCGCAGTTGCGTGTATTATACGTACGCGAGGCCCACTGCCAAGGCTGCTTCTTCTCCCCGAGCGCACATCGCGAGATTCGGCCGGGACGAGAAACCGGATCCCGTGCCCGGGTGCACGTGCTTATATACATGTATACGGAGAGACGGGCAAAAAGAAAGATAAAAAAAATTCACGATAGAGCCGATTCCCTCGTTTATATTTCCCCTCGCTCCTCCTGGCTGGTGTCCAAAACTCGTCATTCGACCCCCTCCCCCCCCCCATCTGCTCTTTTGTTGTTCTTTTCTCGCTCTTGTTCACGGTGGCGATTTTCCTCCCCCCCCCCTAATACACTTTAGCGAGTTTCTCAAGGTGCGCTTCTCGCTTTTCCTTCTTTCCTCCCCCTACCCCTTTGAATTCGGGACTCCTCCCTAAATTGCCTCGGATAGACTCTTTCCGACCTTCCTTTTGCCTCTGCAGACGCGCTCGTGATCTTACAATGTAAATTAGGACTCGTCGCGTTATCTGTCTATCCGTGCGTGTGATATGGCCCCGATGGAGCACGAGGGCTTTCAGAACTATTTTGGCGCGTCCGTCGGTTCTTTTTTTTTTTTTTTTTTTTTTTTTTTTTTTNACAATTCAAAACTTGCAAACAATACCAGCAATCCGATACAAGCGCGATATATATATATATGGTGTAGGTATTATCCCCATTTACTCGCGACTTAACGAAGCGCGCATCGCTCTCTCCTCGGATAAAATGGTGTATTCGCTATATATGTACGTATATACAGCAACATCGTTATTAACCAGTTCTGCTAACCTCTGTGATGATATTTGAATTTCATTAGAAGAAGCTTGGCGGCATTCTTTTAAAGCAAGAATTATCGGCCTTGTTTGCATATTTTTGCAAAAGACGCGTGAGTTTCTTTGAAAATAAAAACCCTATCCATTCATACGAGCCAGCTGGGAGTTGATTACAAGTTTAGCGTCGACAATAACACGTTTGGAATTTTTATTTCTCCATCGGCATACTTGCATATTTTTATGAACTAAGCGTTGGAGATGTATTTTTTTTTTTTTTTTTTTTTTTTTTTTTTCACAATTCGTGTAACTAACTGTTACGTATATTTTGCACGGAAGTATCTTTTGTATAGGAAAGGTGAAAAATGGCTCATTGTTGAGTCACTCCGCTCGTGTCCACGATATTTTTTACGATGCAACTATTAAAATGCAATAACTTGGCTGCGTCGCCAACTAAACCAAATGCACTCATGCAATTAAGGTTCCAGATGAGAGAAACTGCACACAGTCAAAGTGGGCGGGGTGGACTTACTTGTCATTTAAAACGTGGTTTTGTTAAAAAAATAAAAACCATGTTCTGTGTAAAAAATTTTATGTGCGTATACAAGGATTGCTAAGTATCATGGCACGTAATAAAAAAAGCATACGCACTAAAGTGAAAATTGGAATGTAGTGTAATATAAAGTGAAACAAAAAAAAAAAAAAAACAATTTCTTTCCAAATGAAATCTCACTTGCATCGCAAAAGCACGAAAAACGCGAAGAAACAAAAGAAAGACCAGCATCATGGTGTATACGTACAAATGGAGGATCTATCTACACCATAGCGCGCTCAAAATGATCGACAGCGCGGCGTACATGCTTGTTCACCGCGGCATAGAAAAACACGTGTAGACGCACACTTTGCCCTTCCGCGCCGATGATTGACGGATCAATGCAAGAGGCGCTCGTCAACAAAATACATACATATGCTTTGGCCTTTCACTCGGAGGTATGGATTTTGCTGAGCAATACATCTGAATCGCGCGCACCATTGTGCAACGAAGGAACCTCTCTCGGCTGCGTTTTCACATAATATATATATATACTCACCTGTACACTCCACAATACATATTTTCACACGTAGGCATACCGAGAGATTTTATTACGAAAATTAGTGTTAAAAGATGCACGGCGCGTTTCGAAAGCTCAAATATATTCTGCATACAATTTTTTCTCAAACAAACGTTGCGCAATGGTGTGTACAACAAGCCCTTCTCTGGCTATTACACTAGCCACTGTCTCTCTCTCTGTGCAGGAGTTACATTTCCCAAATGGGAGAGTGTAGGGGCTGATATACACACTTGCACCCCGCAACTGTATCATAAACACAGAGACGCCGGCACGGTTGGTAACGCTTACGCTGTTGCGTAGGAGGCAAAGTGGGGTTACTCTGTGTATTATGTACATGTAGGGATGGGATATTAATCGACCTCCGATTCCTCGGCATGGGTGCACGCGTGTGCAGGGGAGCTAGACAGACAGTAGCAATAATGCATGGACCGGTAGGAGCGCGTCGCTGATACGGTCCACCGTCATTGAGCTATGGTAGGGTGGGTGCGGTACCTTAACTGGTCGGTATGCATATGGACAGACTCGGACTCAGTGTTGATGTCTACAGGGAATGCTGGCTATTTTTACTTTTTTTTTTTTTTTTATTGAATTTCATTGGATGATTAAGGTATTACATCGAGAATCGGAGAAACTTTTATAATTTGTTGTACATTATACGCGCCGCCGGTGGATTGGTCTTAATGTGAACAACCCAATCGATCCGTAGACTAAGTTTTTCTGAAAGCTCGTATGATTTCGGAGCTCGAGTGAAGTAAGCTCGGGGTATCAGGTGTACATCAGTGATTATAAATGGGTCTTCAAGGATGGGGTTGAAAGTCGTAGTTGTGAGCCTCTGTGAGCTTTGAAAAGAGCTGCAAGCTCAGTTTATTAACTCTTTGGAGCTTTGGATTCTTTCATCCGCAGGTCGTACAAGTTGTATACAAACGAAAGCTCGAAAAAAAAGCTCAGGATTTCCTCCTTCGTTTATCGTTGTCCTGCCCAGTCCCATCTGTTATCTTTCCAGTGCCCTTCCCTGTACACCCTTTTTTTCCCTCCAAGAGTCGCAGAGAGACAAATGGAGCCCCCTCGCCACACCCCTCTTGCTGTCACTTTCACCTCGGCAGCAACAAAAACCGGACGATTAAACGTCCAGTCGAAAATTATCCAAGCTCCGCTGTGTATCCCTTTACTTGGAAAAATAAAAGGGGGGAAGCATGTACACCGTAGAAAATGTACCGAAAGACGATAGTCCATTTTGGCGTCGCGAGGACATTATGTATGTACACGCCTCATTGTACGCGACGTATACGCATGCATAGGTACACGCGCTGCTCCTCTATATATCCCTCAGCAATGCAAGTTCGGAAGCTCTCGGCTCGTACATGCGATGCATGCAGAGGATGGATGTGTTTGCGCACCTATATATATATACACACTGGCTCGAGGGATAATTTTCCGAGGCGACACCTAATTATCGGGAAATTCTGCGGCTGTGCCCTATACCCTCAATCTACATGTATACGTACATCACCGTCCTGCATACTTTACGCGCACGGATATACGTACACCCATGGCCCAGAGCGACTATATTTATACTCTTGTCGCTCTTTATTATTGTAAAAACACTTTTTGCAAAATTCCATAACCACACCCAACACGCGCGTTTTCACGCATTTAAGATCCTCGTGGCGCTCGTGTCCATATCTTTTATCGCTCCAAAATCTAATAAACCGCGTCTGTTGCGAAGTTGCTCCGGAGCACGCGTCCGCTACCTGGCGCAGCAAGTTTTTATTGCCCGCTCGGCTTAATTTCGCTCCCAACCCCCTCTTATACCCCGTGCGTATTATAAGTACGCCTTGTTTGTTTGTATATGATGATAGAGTTTCGTGTACTTTGAGGGCCCAACCGTATGCGATCGGTTATTAAAAACAAGCGCGCGGATAATTGTAAATACAGCATCCGGTCCCTCTCTCGAGTCGCCCTCCACTAGATAAAGTCCTTAAGGAGGCAGGCTCTCTTGTCTCGCGAGCACTCGTCTCCGGCTTCCTTCCTTGTGGCCTTTTTCGATTTGCCCTCCGCCGTCCTCCTTCGCTTTGCGCAACCGTCATAAGCTGCTCAGGTATACGTGCATATATACATATACAACCGTAGAACTGGAGGATAAGTTGTTCCATCCCGAGGAGCAACTCCTCGAAAGTGGCGACGGAAAGGGGTCTCGGGGACAGGATTATCGTTATAGTACGCTCGAAGAGATCGGCACACGGTACATATACAGATACTCCGATTTCGCGGATTACGCGCGTCGCCGATTACCGCGAGCCACAAAGCGAGACAAAAAAAAATAACAGGTATATATCTCTGTGTCTCTGCTCGGAAGGTGCTCTGGGCGTAGTTTCTTTGAGAGCTGCTCTCCGTGGGGGCACTGCGTCAAAGGAGCAGTTCCGTGGTATTATTAAGTAGGAGCGAACACGCGCCCGGGTACACCGTTACGAGCCTCGACACGATAATATAGCCACGCAGAGTGGGGGTGGTTTTTTCGTCGATTTGTTACAGATTGGTCTATCTTTTTCTTCTTTTTCTTCTTTTCAATTATATATATACATTGGCGTCAAACTCTATGTATATACTCAACTGGACCACATATAAATCAATCCATATACCGTGGTCATTTAAAAAGTATAATAGGCACGTGCAAACGCGTATATGTACCTTGTAGATGTCGTCGACGAGTTTGGTCAGCTCCTCGGTCTCCATGGCCGGACACCAGAAGGCCAGCGGCCTAGTCTCACCGTCGGTTGCAATCCCTCGGCTGGTGGCCCACTAAACTCGGATAATCGTCAGACTCGGCTCACGAGAAGCTCATGTTCGGCCGGCCGAGTTTCTCGCGCTGGAACCCTGGAACAATGGAAATGCGCGTGATTTTTTAACTCGTGGTCGATTAAAGATGTATGGAGAGCGGTGGTTTCCTACGGAGGCGGGGATTGGGGTTAAAAGAGCTGCAGTATAGATGCACGAAGGAGAGATTGGGAGCGCGTGCCCATTTGTGTGTATAACATTGTCGTGGGGCACGGAGAGCCAACGAGGTGTGATGTATTTAACGCGTTGTACACGTAGTGACTCAAACTGATCAAAAGAAAATGCAGGCTGTTACGCGCGAGTGGTTGAAATATGATCTCCCCGAGTGTTATCTTGGCGTTGAGATTCCTGCACGACTTTGCACCGCACGAGCTCTTTAAAATAGAGCTACGAGCTGTCGTTTTATTTCATGCCTTTTTTTTAGTGAACGTGTTTACTGTGAGGTAATTCTTGGCAAAAGTGATACACGGATCTTGTTTTTCCCTCGTGTCGAGGGCCACTTGTTGTTTTCGTTTATTTATTTTTTCCACATTTTAAATTCGCACAGAAATACCATTACAAGCAGAAATAACTTTATGACCAATCCACGGTGTGTTCCAATTAAAAAGTAACTCAACGCACTGCGAGAAAAATCAACCCCCTCCTGTCTCGTCCCCATTCCCAAATCGAGCAAACAGTCTCGACCCTGTACAAACAGACATGGAGCTGTGAAAACAAGTAAAATTGCAAAAATCACTGCTCCACCCTTACCCCTTGCGGCAGTTCATCATCATCACAATACAACTGTGTGAAAGCAGAGCTCGGGGATACAAAAGATATCGTTGCGGGAGGGCGTCTTGGGCTGCGCCACACCTGACCGAGAAAATTCTGATCGCCTCCTCTCGCTCTCTCCTTCAATGCTATAGGTATATAAAAGTGATCACGATCGAGAGGCAAGTGGTTGTATATAGACGTAGGTACTTTCATTTCGCAAGGACAGAGCAGGGAGTCAGTCGGTACAGGAAAATCAGGGGAGGGGGGGAGGGGTCCAATGAACCTGCCTCTTGTGTACTTATAGCTACCATCGCGCGCGATTACGTGTGTATAAAGTGCACCTACAGCGCGCCCGAGAGGGCTTTCGATGTAGGCCAATTGGCGCTTGAGATTTATATGGGTATAATATACATGTGACGTGTGGTGTGCTGTATCTATATATGTATATACGTACAGGGCAAGAGAGGAGGTAATGACCGGCCGTCGCCTTTTGCTTTTTCGAGAGGAAAGTCATCGGCCCCAACTATACGAGTAATTGAGCTTTGAAGAGGCCTCGGGTATTGTTTATTACTCGAGGTATGGATAGAGGTTTTTTGGATTTTAACCGTTGCCCATCCAAAATATAATCATACCGAGTTTTTCTTTTCTTTTTTTTTTTTTAATTAACGATACGACACTGTGGGATCGAAATAAGAATATCCATCCAAGCACAACATTCAACACGATAAAAATATTGAGCTTTTATCGATCTAATTAGATGCGTAGAATTCGAGATAAAACATTGGATGAAAAAATCGTTTGATAACAGCTGGAATGCGTGGAGCTTCGTTCTTTACATCGATTCGAGTTATAAATTATAAGTCGATGGGAATTCCGATGGTGGTCGTTCGGATGCCTCGTTGAAGCGGGAAAAACTTCCGCGTCCCCGATCTCCCGTGTGGAAAAATCGGCAACAATGGTAAGTACCTACCGATCCTCTGATAAACGCATTCCTCGGTGAGTTACAGGAATCCCATTCTCCCGGTACAAGTGTATCAATAACAGTGGCTCGTCGAGTTTATTTTTTTTTTTATCTTCTTCAAGAAGGTCATTCCCCTTTTAATTCGATCGAGCTTGTCAGCGGGACCCCAAAAGTCATAATCAAGTTTCACTGCTGCTTTCTCACTCGAGTGCCACCTAATGCATGCTCAACGAACTCGTGACTCCCACAAACGGAGAGGACGAAAAACAAAATCAAAGTCCCGATCCTTGCGAGGGAAAGCCGTGATTGGAAATTCGGGGGAAAAACGCTCACGCGAGTATAGGATAAACGGCTCGTTAGAGCTGGAAACCCCCATAGTTGCACCACCCATACGTGTCTTTTATGTTTCTTTTCCTCCCATACGCGGCATAGCGTGCAGGTATACATACGTCCAATTGAGCGAGTTCTCGTTAATTAGAGCCTCCATATGTACTTGCGTAGAGAGAGAAAATCCGCGCGCGTGCACGTCAATTATGCGATCGTGCGTTTATTAAAAATGAATATCAGCTTGTCGGCACCGATTCGTGAGCTCAGAGAAAATATATACGCACTGGAACACCACTTGAGTCCATGGACGGCTTTTGTGCACCTTGTACTTTCTTACCGCGCCAATCTGAGAGTATATCGAAAGTATCGAGGGCTACACTGGATCTCTGTTGTCACAAAATACATGTACGTGTACAAACCACTTTACGTTTGAATTAATGTATAAATGTATCTCTTTATCTACGTTTAAGCCGTTACATTTTTTTTTTGAGAATCATATATCTGCACACAAAATGACGGTTTTTCGTCCGATTATCAAACGTGAAGGTGAGTTATTGTTGTTATGTGTATATGTACACTAGATAAGGAATAAATATTTAAAAAATAGTGAAATACACGATTTGATTATCCCCGTGAAAGTGCATTTTTCCTCAGTACATATAGCGAGACATACACACGCAGCTTCCTAACTTTAACAAAGCCCCCCCGAAACGCCACCGGTTCGCCGAGCATCAATTCTAATTGCGTCGAAAATACCCCCGTCCCCATCATCCCCGATACAATACGACTCCCACAAGTCTCATTCCAGGTTGGCGAAACGTGCCCGAAACAAGCACCATGCACACACGCACGTAAGCCCGAAATCAAAAAGCTACACGCCTGAAAAGGGCGGGCTCTTTGACAAGCGACTTCGCCCTCCTCCTCCTCCTACTTTTCTGTATACATAAAATCGATTCGCCTTAATGGACCCCCTGCTCTCTCATCCTTGCGCGCGGCGTAAAGCTCGAACCCCCACGGATGTAAACGGAGATGATATCGCGTGCTCCTTGCAATCCTTTCCGCGCTTTTACTCTTTCCGTTCTCTATTGGATCCAAAGATCCTTCTTTTCTCGAGACCAAGGTGCACTGTGACGCTCGTCCAGTCTCGGGTGTGAAACTCGTGTCAAGAAGGACGACTTGGTCATTGGAGGGTTGTAAAAGGGGGGGGGTGCTTACTCGTTGTTTCAAAGTAACGAGGTACAGCTGAAAAATGTAGCTACAGCACAAGCATCCACGAGTATCGTAGCTTTTCTTTACGTAAACGCTCACAAGTTATGATCAATTGTACATGCAATGGTCTCCGAAAACCACGTGGAAAAGCCGCGCAAAGTCATCAAACCAATTACGCATACCCGGGGTATACAACGTAATGATACATATAGCCATCACAGCGAACCGAGCGCTGTAAAACTAAAACACATTTCAAACATCTAAGTGTTTCCAATTATCATCATACAACTCTTGACTCCACGCGCACACTGTATGTAGACACCGCATCCATCAACCCCCAAACCACATATTATTTGTACAATACACAATTCAAAACTTGCAAACAATACCAGCAATCCGATACAAGCGCGATATATATATATATGGTGTAGGTATTATCCCCATTTACTCGCGACTTAACGAAGCGCGCATCGCTCTCTCCTCGGATAAAATGGTGTATTCGCTATATATGTACGTATATACAGCAACATCGTTATTAACCAGTTCTGCACCTAGCACTGCAATTTAAATTGCTCGGGGCTCAAAAAAATCCATGCCCACGCGCTCAATTGTATATATATATATATATATATATATCTTATACATGCATGTGTGAAAGCAGGTAGCCGATGGGGACTAAATAAAAGAAAGACAAAACACGGGACGATAGAGTGAGCTCGGGGCTGTTTTTGCGAGATGACCTGCAGTGCCTTCCATTATATATACATATGGTTAGAAGGATAGGAGGCCTATGCAAGAATTTATATACGGTAAATCCACGAGTGCATATACATACGAATAGCCAAAGCTGGTCCTGCTGTTATGTTATACGTACACGTATATGTATAAGCAACCGTTACACGCCCGACAAGATTTTCGCATTACCATCCATTGCAGCTGCACGTATGTACATACACGTATACGTGGGTTCATTAATCTTGGGTGCGTTCACGCCTTTCCGAGGCTCACATGAATCCCGATGATAAGGAAACAAGTGGCGAGCTTTGAGAGGTGGACGAAAATAACGATGAACGGCTCTCCTCTCGACCCGACCACGATACGTCCTTGAGCGCTTCCTGCCGAGGCTCCGTTATTGCCTTCTTTTTTTTTTTTTTTTTCTTTCATCGCACCTTTCGCCGACTCTCCGCACGGAAAATGTCCATCCGATCTTGCCAAGGCGAATATCGAGCCTTATCGCGTTTCCTCCAACTCCAGCTTGTATACGTAATTATAATACACGGACACGCGCACGTGAAATTAATCGTCCGCGCCAACGTTACGTCACGACAATTTATGCGCTCTGTCTTACATGGACGAAAAAAGTATCCGGGGCGAAAGTAGTTGTTTTATTTTCTCCCAATCGGCCGCGGGAAGAATGTTAATTTACGGTACACGCGGAGCCGTTTCGTAATTTATCCGTACGATAGTATAGGTATGGGGTTTTTCGAATGTTATATGTATTTTCGACCCGCTATCGCTCGGTGTACGGGTTGATCGGGGGGCGAGAAAAAAAAAAATAGACAATTTGGTTTTTTACGCGGGAACGGGTTTCTCTATGGGAAGAAAAAAATGGCACAAATACCCACTCGTCGCGGGGCAAAAATACAATACGTCGCACGAGAGTTGCGTTTGTTGTTTTTAATCACATTGTCCTGCTTGGGCGTAGCCCAGGAATGCTGCAGTACACGCGCCATAGATTTCTTTGCCTCGTGTACAAGGAAAAAAATGAAAC